TAAAAAAAAAAAATTTTTTTAATGTTTTAACACATAAAGATTTCTGTTGTTGTTAACAAAGTAATGGGTAGTCATTTTACATTAACTTTAATAAAACAATAATAGAAAGATGAACTATGTGGTGCATACTACGGTGGATAGAGAAAATAATCATTTCAGGAAATGCCAATGCATGAACTCCTCAGGAGCAGGAACTCTTACATTAATCCTCCCAAATTTGCAGCTCCCTTTTCTGAACACTGGTCTTTGGTCTCTCTGGGTTCTTCCACCATCAGCCCCTCTCCCCACAATGTAAAATGTGCATACCCTCAGGGTTCTATCCTTTACCCTCTTATTCCACTTAATACCCCTGGAGAAAATCATCACATTTTAACTTCAATTACTAAATGCTTAATCCATATTTCTATCTTCATCTCAAACTTTTTCCTTTAGTTCTAGACCCACATGTCCAACCACAACTACTTAAGGGACTGTCTAATGTACACGACAGGTATCTCAAACTGAACACATCATCTACCCCACTTCTTTTTTTTTTTTTTTTTTTGGGACGGAGTTTCGCTCTTGTTACCCAGGCTGGAGTGCAATGGCGCGATCTCGGCTCACCGCAACCTCCGCCTCCTGGGTTCAGGCAATTCTCCTGCCTCAGCCTCCTGAGTAGCTGGGATTACAGGCACGCGCCACCATGCCCAGCTAATTTTTTGTATTTTTAGTAGAGACGGGGTTTCACCGTGTTGACCAGGACGGTCTCGATCTCTTGACCTCGTGATCCACCCGCCTCGGACTCCCAAAGTGCTGGGATTACAGGCTTGAGCCACCGCGCCCGGCCTTACCCCACTTCTTAAACTCCTCAAAAAAAAATTTTTTTTTTCTTATTTTGCATTGCAGAGTTCAGCGAATAGCAGAACAATCTACTGTATCAACCCACTGTCATCCCTGGCTTCTCGTTCTTCATCTCCTGTGTCACCAAGATCTGCCAATTCTACCCCTTTCAGAGGCCCCTCCTTCTTATTCCCACCATCGCTTTCTTAGTTATCTTTTCATTTCTTCACTGAGCTTCAGCAACATCTCCAATTTTTTTTGCCTCTCATTTAGGCTCTCTACCAATCTGTCATGTGAGTGTTGCCAGTGATCCTTTTCAAAATGGATCCAATCACTGACCCAAATCCTCCTTATTACCTTAAAGGAAAATAAACCCACAGTCCTTAGGTGCCTTTTGATTTAGCCCACATTTGCCTTATTGGCCTTACTTCCTCCCATTTTCTTCTAATACACATGAAGTATTCTCCATTTCAGCCACAATAAACCACTGCTTAGTTGTTCTCCTGCCTTCGTGCCTCAGCCTAGGCTGTTCTGCTTCGGAAGCTCCTGGTCATTTCCTGTTCACCCTTTATTATCTGCAATTCCAGAGCCCAGAAGTACATTGTGAATGTGGAATCACTGTTTGCTCTACGCCTAAGTCAGTAACAGCCCTTTACATTAAAAAAGTTCATTATGATATACAAGATATTTTTGTTCATATCTATAATCACATTTATCTTGATTCTCACAACTAGACTATCAGACAACCATTACAGGTTTTATGATCCCAAGTTATCAATGACACAATAATAGCTCCTGGTTTTCCCAAAGGGGCAAAGCTAGAAATTAACACAATGACCCTTAACTAAAGATTTGTCCTCTCTATTATTTCCCTACTTAAATTATCAGGTACACAGTGAAGCCCACTGTGTGCTAAAAGTAACACAAAACCATAAGTCATACACTTAGCTCTAAAAATATTTAATCTAATCAGAGGTACAAGATCCATACACATGAAAAGAGATAAAATGTTATAAGTAAGCATACTATAGAGTTAAATGCTAAATTGTGTAGCACCCCCAGCAGGAGAGAGAAGTGCATTTAGTGGGCATTAGCCTAATCCTGAAAGACTTTATAGAAACTGGGGCAACATGGTCCTGCAGTCCCTTTTATATTACGGATGAGTAAAGGGTTGAGAGATAGACATTCTACGTGAGTGCAACAAATTGAATGTAGACCATAACAGGTCTGGAGAACAAAGAGGTAGAACACCAAAAATAGAAATTTAATTGTTCTCCAACTTTGACTGAACTCCTTAAGAGTTTAAGAAAGTATCAGAGAGACAGGAAAAAGTACCCTCACTCTGGTAAAGAAAATGAAAACCTTAAAACCAACAAAAACAACGAAAACTTCCAACTTACCACAGTAAGGCTAGGAGACAAAACTATTGATAACACATTCATTTGCTACATTTTTTTTTTTTTTTTTATCAATTTGCCTTAAATAATGTTAACCTCAGATTAAAGTTATTTTTACTTTGAATTCTGATGTGGCCAAGAGATTTAAATAAGAAAAAGACTACATCTGTCTCTTCACTGTTACTCCCTATCCATAATGCTTTAGTTTGCTACATTTAGTTAAACATTTAGTGGAACTTGAGAACCACTAGATGCTTTGTTAGCAAAGTAAACAATAATGTAACTATTCTATCTAGTAATGAGTTTGGAGACTTAAAAAATATACACAGAACTTGATAGTTTTCTTTTAACTACTAATAACAGACTGAACATGCCAGTGAAAAGAAATAAAGCACAATGGTAGAAAACTCCAAAAAGGTACAATCAATGTCTTTACGCCCCCACCCTAACTCATTAGCAACTTTCTGATGGCGGCTGTTTTCTCCAATAGTAAAGAGTATCCCTATATCCAAAGCAATTTCTCTAAAGTCCTTCTCATTCATTCAACAAACATTTAGCACATACATTGCACTAGGTGCTAGAAGGAAGAGAAACTGAATATTGTCCCTGCCTTAGACATTTTAGTGCCTTTACTCCTCAATTCCAACAGGGAACCAGTCTTCCATAGGTACCCCATTCCCTAAAATCAAATGTTGCTTTTCACAGTTGTCTTTACTTGTCACCTAAAGTATTTCAACTCAAAATTTCCTCAAAGTCAACTTCATAGCTACTGATAAAATAAGCACTGTATGATTACAAAATATTTCACCAATACATAACCCCATTTTCTCCAACCTTAAAACCAAATTCTTTAGTCCTGATTACTTTAGCATAGAGACCTGCACTGCTGTTTCTTCTTTTTTAAAGAATACTAATGCTTTAAAATAAGAATATTGTTTGAGCAGACTTAAATCAACCTTCTTTTGTCAGTAAGTGCCAGGTGTTTTTTAAAAATTATTACCCTGTCACTTTTGATTATGAGATATTGATGGGCATCACTCTATTTGTATCTGGAATGAAATGACCACTTTGTGATTTTGCTTATCATATGTAAACTAGAACTTGAGAACCACTGGACACAGAAGTATCTTTACTTCTTTAGATAGTGATCTTTGTTTAAAAATGAAGCCCCTGTCTCAGAATTTCAGGAACAGGTAGTTAAGATTCCATTAAGTGTTTACTTTCCACCCTTAAATTATTACCTTAATACTTCAGCTTAAGAATTATGTGTTCTGTACATATCACGCTGCTTGTCAATATCCACACATAAGCCTTCTTGTTTTGACAATCTGAAAAAGTCCCCATATAGTCTGAGGGGGGGGAAAGCCTAATTTAGCATAATATAATGTCAGTTTTCATCAAAGAATATATGCTTCTCAAGTTCAATTAACCTTTGAATGATTCCCTTCCTAAGAGGAAAGTAATTCTCGTTGGTGTCCTTGTCATCCAGGGAGTGGAAATCTTTCTAGTGGCAAGATGAGTAATCAATCACTTGCATGACCCCAAAAAGGGCTCTTTCATTTCCCTCAACTACTCTCTGGAGCAGCGGCTGGAATTAATAGAAGGATCATAATCTCCAGACCTGAGTATTAAATCAATCCTACAGCCCCCCCCCAACCCCTTGTACCCCCCACCCCCCACCCCGCAAAGCCCCCTTCACTTTCTTGCTTATCCTTTTTCTTCTCTCCTCCTCTCCATTTTTCTTTCCTCCTTCCGGCTTTCCTTAACCTGTGATTCGCTCCCGGTTGTTTGAGTTTTTACAACTTACCAGATAACAATCCCTTGTGATCCTAAAATCTTCTTTAAAGCAAACCCTGAATCACTGTTTTTTAAAACCAATATGAAAGACCATTGTGTGGAATAATGTTACATTTGTTTCACAGCCCTGCAAAGTTTGGCTACAAAACCTGTGGGCTGATTCCGTAACTCAACCGGAAACGCGGTGGATTGAAACAACAACAAAAAACGAAGCCAGGCAGAATGATCCGACCCGGGCCCCCGGCCTGAAACGGGACACGGGGATGACAAGGCAATGCCGGACGAAGCCGGGCTCCTGGCTCTCGCGATTCAGCAGACGCGCCCGGCCCACTGGGGGCGACAGCGACGGCGCCGGCGGCTCGCAGCGCTCCACGCTTGCCGTCCGGGGGGGGCTCGAGGGACCGCCCCAGGCCCGGCTCCCGCCCGGGCTCGGAGGGACCCCGGGTGTGAGGGCTGCCCGCAGGTTCCGTCCTCCGGCTGAGGCGCGGCTCCCGGAGCAAGAGGCAACGAGGCCGCCCTCGGCGTGTCGGGGTCTGGGCTGGGAACGTCCTCGGCAACCGCGGGTAGGGGGCCCCCAGGCGGCCGCAACAGGTGCTCCAGGGCCGCCCACCCGGCTCGGGTCGTCCCCGCCCCTGGGCCGACCCCCGACCCCTTCCGCCGCCGGGGCCCCGCCGTTACCTGCAGCGGCGGCTCCCAGGTCCCGGGAGGGAGGCCCAGGGCCGGCGGCCTTCCCCGCGGGCTGGCCCGCTCGCCCGACGGACCCCGCGGGTCGGCGACTGCGGGGCCCGCAGCCCGCTACCCCAGACGTCGGGGCGCAGGTCCCGCGGGGCCGCGGGGGCCGCCAGGGAGGGCGCGACCCCCTGACCGGGCCTCAGGGGAGGTGTCCTCAGCCGGTGACCTGGCCGCCACCCTCACTCTGTGCCCCCGGCGACGCGCGGGTTCTCACGCGCGCCCTCACTTCCTGCGGCTTTTGGTCCCTCCCGCTCGCCGTTCCTCTGGTCCCGCCCACTCCGCCTCCGGGTTGTCAGGGCAACCGTACGACGCCGGCCCTGGAAGAGAGGAATTGGGAGCTCGGGGGCTCACCCGCGGGGGTCCGAGAGCAGCTGACCATGGAGCCCCAGAGTAAGGGAGGCCCGGGCTGGAGCTGGGGCCGGGGCGGGCGGCCTGGCTGGGGCTCCCCGGGAACGAGTGTGGGCGACCTGCGCGCAGCTCCGCTGCCTTCGACTCGGACAGGGAACTACGGTTTGCGTCTCCTCCTCGCGCTTTGGAGGTTGGGCCGCCGGCGCCCGAGGATCTACACTGGGGAGCCGGGGAGACGGGAGAGCCCCGAGGTATGGGCGGGAGGGCGCAGCACCCCCAGCGTACGCCTTCCTGAAACTTCGCCCAGACAGTTCCGTTTACTAATCCTCCTACTGTCATAATTTTAGTTAGTTTGGTAGCTTGGTTCATTAATTGTAAATAGCCCATTCTTCTTCTAAAATGTCAGCAGTTAAACACGCCACGGGGCTGGGTCTTGTATTTATTACAGAGCCCGTCCTCCTCCCCGCCTCCCACCTCACACCCCCAGTCTACGACTTAGAGAAAAAAAGAGCTTTGTCTAAGTGTATTTCATTCATTATTAGGGGTTCTACAAATTAGGACATTCAAAAAATGTTCATGATTTTTTTTTCTGTTTTTCTATGTTGCTTTTGATGGATGGCAAAAGTCGTGCAGTTTGGAGTTACCAGATCTAACTTGAGCTCTAACTTAACAGTTTTTGTTGTTTTACCTTTCCAGGGACTTTGTGCCAAGGCCCTTCTTTCTCTGTCCTGCCTAAGCTGTGTTATTGTTGCTTTTGTTCTCAAAATAAGGGCAGTGTTTTGTATGGAGACTTAAAAGATCTAAAACCTTTATGGAAGGATGCAATCTGATTCTCAAAACTAGGTCGTCTTTTCTTGTACAATTTCAGAAATGAAGTACTCAGACCAAATCTATTCCTGCGGAATATGTTGGCATTTTTAAAGGTCATTCGTCTTCCAGCAAGAAGGTTTCAAATACTTTTTCCTTTTCTTTTAACTCATTTGCTGAGGAGAAAGCGTACAAGTTGTGACTTAAAGTTGCTTGATAGATTTTTGTACCGTATTTGTCATTTGCATTTACAGCTCTTTGGAGTCTACATTTTTGTCAACGTAGTGAAATAAATTTAGCATACAAAAATGCTCAAATATTTGTCTTATGTCAAGCTGATGCCAGGCTGTGTGTATTCCTGCCTTAGAGAATAAGTGAGTTGAAATATATCTTTTAAAAACAGCAACTTTATTTCTTCAGATTTATGTTATTATTTACGTGTGTGAACCATAACTTCAAGTTCTTTAGTGCTCACTGTCTTTATTCATTCGTTCACTTATAGTAGTTACTATGTTACAGCTCTGTTTTAGGGATTGAGAATTAAACAATGGATAGGACAGTGTTTGTTTTGGTCATCCCAGGAAAGCAAAGCAGAAACTTGTTCAAAAGCTACTCAGGTCTTGGTGGGGTTTGGAGATTGGGGGAAAAGAAGATGCACAGAAGTCTCCCAAGAGGAAGAAGTACTAGGTCTGCAGAATGACCCAGCAGCGAATGGGGGCAAGGGATTCTAGACAGTGGGAGTTACTTGTACACAGGCCCTGAGACCTGAGAGCAGCGTGGGTTTGAGGCTCACAGTAGGAAGATTAGTAAAGCTGTAGCTAAGGAGAGGCGGAGGAAAAAACTGGGTTGGGAAGAGGGAGGAGAAATGAGATAAGGCCGGAAAAGTCAACCAGAGCCAGATCCGGAAGGCTCTGTAACCATGTAAGGAATGTATTACGTATGTGAACTATACATTTATGTCTCATGTCTTTGGATTTTGAAGTAGAAAATATTTAATTTATACCTGGGGCATGACTGTAAATGTATTTATTTTCATATAGTCTTAAATGATTTTATTTTATTTATTTTTTATTTTATTTTTTTTTGGGGGGGGGACGGAGTTTCGCCCTTGTTACCCAGGCTGGAGTGCAATGGCGCGATCTCGGCTCACCGCAACCTCCGCCTCCTGGGTTCAGGCAATTCTCCTGCCTCAACCTCCTCAGTAGCTGGGATTACAGGCACGCGCCACCATGCCCAGCTAATGTTTTATATTTTTAGTAGAGATGGGGTTTCACCATGTTGACCAGGATGGTCTCGATCTCTTGGACCTCATGATCCACCCGCCTCGGCCTCCCAAAGTGCTGGGATTACAGGCTTGAGGCACCGTAGTCTTAAATGATTTTATCAATTTAATTTTAAATAATTCAAATAATCATTTATGTTTTTGGTTTTTTGTTTGTTTGTTAGTTTGTTTGTTTTGAGATGGGGTCTTGCTCTGTCCCCAGGCTGGAGTATAGTGGTGCAATCATAGCTCACTGCAACCCTGAACTCTTGGGCTCAAGCAGTCCTCTCACCTGAGCCTCCTGAGAAGATGGGACTGTAGGTGTGGAACACCATACCCAGATAATTTTTTTTTTATTTGATTTACTTTGAATAGAGGTAAGGTCTGGCTGTGTTGCCCAATTTGTTCTCGAACCCCTGGCCTCAAGTGATCCTTCTGCCTTGTTCTCCCGAAGTGCTAAGATGACGGATGTGAGCCAGCACACCCAGCTTGGAAATTCTTTTACAGTCTAATAAACATCATTTGGATATTTACTACCATTCATAGTAAATATTTAAAAGGACAATATTAAATGATCTCTGAGGTTTCTCTTAACTTGGAGATTCACATCCAACCAGATTTCACCTTAGACTGAAGTTATTTCCTTCTGGCAAAGATAATGGAAGCGCCACAAATGTGACATTAACAAGTATTACAGTTCTACATAATTACATTTATACTGTCAGCAATATTATGTTAACAATACATTGTTTATATCAGTATTATCTAATATATTTTAAGCCCTGTTCCTTTTGTTACTGAGGGGTCTAAAATAACATTTTACAAATATAGTTGAATATAGCATCAGTAAATTGATTATGAGGAAGAATCCTTCATAATTGCTTTTAAGGATTAAACATGTATCTAAGGACTACACCAAGGAACTGCTAGAAATAACCCTCGAGTCAGTCTTATCCATTCTGTTTCCACACACTTCGTTTTCTATTACTTTTAGGAATGACCTTTGTTAACTAAGTCATTAAAATCCAATAAACATAAACTCTTCAAACCCCACAGCTGGATCATACTCTGGCAGTAAGCGGAGGAAGGCAGGAGCTGCCACTGTTTTACAGAATAATAATAAGTCAATGATCCAAGAAATGACTCCTCAGGGAAGGGACAAATTAAATAAGTTCACAACCTTGGGCTGTTCAGAGTGGTTTTGGCTCTTGGCTTGCACGTTTACATCTTTAATTATTTTCTTGCTAAACCAGGTTCAGTGTTGGAAAGATAGCTCCTGTATAAAATAACGTGGAAAACGTACATCACATTCCATTTGTTTGGGGTTTTGATGGGGTTTTTTTCTTTTTTCTTTGTTTTTGGAAAATAGTTCAATGTTACTATCAATTCCTAATTTCTTAATGAGTGTCAATACCAAGGGGCGGCTTTGGGGAATCTTTAGCCCAAATCTAAGCAAACATATAATCTGAGTAAAAACTGTGTGTATTCATCAAATGCAGCATCAAAAGAAGCGCCCAGCTCCCGCTTGATGCTGCCTGTTCTGTGAACTCTTCCTATATATATATATTTTTAAAATCTGGGGTTAGTTTAGGCTGAGCAGGCAGCAGTTTCCTACTACACATTTTGTTGTTGTTGTTGTTGTTGTTGTTGTTGTTGTTGTTATTAGAGAAACAGGATCTTGCTAGGTTGCCCAGGTACGCCTCAAACTCCTAGGTTCAAAGGATCCTCCCTCATCGGCCTCCCTAGTAGCCTGGACTGCCTACCAGCCTCACGTATGTTTTTAAAGAAATGGTAAATAGAAATCTAAGATATTCCAGTGACTAAGGGACTGAGGTGAATGACTAAGGGACTGAGACTTTTCTCTCTGAACCTGTTTCTCCACTAGTCTTCCCAGCCTTCCCTTACTCCAGCCTGAAACATGACTCATCCGTGGCTCCTCGTTTTTACTCACCCACCCTACCCCATCTACCAGCAGGTCTGTTTATTCCACTTCCAAAATATACCCCAAATGGGCTCCTTCCTCTCCCTCCCCACTGTAATCGGTGGTACTCCAAGCCACCATGCTACATAAATTATGTTTGGGAACTCTAATAATTTTTGCACGTTTTCTCCCACTGCTACCTGGAAGCCAGAGTGACCTTTCAAAATATACGTCAGATCAGATCATGTCACTCTCCTGCCAAAAGCCCTCTAAAATTCTTACAGGGATCTAGCTGCCTCTTCAAACTCATCACACACCTGATTTTAGACATATGCTTTAAGCATATTAGTCTTCTTACAGTCCCTCAAACAAGCTTCTTTCAGTTCTTTGTCTCTGAACAAGCTTTTTCCTCCGCCAGGAATGCTATTCCCTCCTGCTCTGGCAGGTCTGACTCCTAATGTCCTTCAGTCTTTGCTTAAATTTCTCCTCCTCAAGCCCTTCCTTGGCTTCCTAAAGTGGCGGTGCTGCCCCTCTTTGATGTTATTCTATCTCTGTGCTTTTCACAGTAATAATCAGTTTTCTTAATATTTAAAATCTAGCTGGACATGGTGGCTCATGCCTGTAATCCCAGCACTTTGGGAGGCCAAGATAGGTGGATCACCTGAGGTCAGGAGTTTGAGACCAGCCTGGCCAAAATGGTGAAACCCCCGTTCCTACTAAAAATACAAAATTAGCCAGGCATGGTGGCGCATGCCTTTAATCCTAGCTACTCACATGGCTGAGGCAGGAGAATTGCTGGAACCTGGGAGGTGGAGGTTGCAGTGATCCCAGATAGCACCACTGCCCTCCAGCCTGGGAGACAAGAGCAAAACTCTATCTCAAAAACAACAACAAAATCTTTCTTCACTCTACTATAGGGTGACGGAAGAGGTCAGGGGCCCTGTCTGCCCTGTTTGCCATCCTGTCCCTAGTGCCTGACACGGAGTAAACTTTACACATTCATGAATGAATGGCACTGCTGTTCACAGATAGATGCCTTACCTGCTTTTTTTT